TCAGCAGAAGGCAGGTGACTACGGACAGCAAGACGGGCAGCAGCATCGCGCGTGATCCACTGTGAGCGAACACTACTGGCAGCATCAGCAGCAGGTGCAGCAGAGGCGCCAGAGGTGAGATCAAACAGTGAGATACCGTCCTTGCTATCACACTGCAGGAAAAGCTGCAGATCATCGATCCAGACCTCAAAGTCGACAGCTGGCCCCTCAGCATCAAAGGTAAGCACATTGGGACTAGCCATGACAGCAGCAGTAGTAGCCTAGCAGCAGTAGCAGCAGCGCGACTCGGCTAAAGGGCGCGGCTCGGCAGGGCGGCGCGGCTCGGCAGGGCGGCGCGGCTCGGCGGTGCGCTTACCAGGGGCGGGTGGGTAGGGTGGCCGCGACTGGGCGGCAGGGCAGGGCCGCGGCTCGGCTGCAGGGCAGGGCCGGGGCAGTAGTGACGGCAGCGGCGGCGGCGGCTCGCAACACCGGCGGAGGCAGGCTCGGCGGCGGCGGCAGGGACAGCAGCTGCTGCAGGGCTCCTCGGCGGCTGCTGCAGGCGGAGGCCGCAACCGGTGTGAGGGGCAGGGCGGGGCCGCAGCGGCGGGTCGACGCGGGGAGCCAGCGACGGCGGCTGCTGCAGGGGCGGCGAAGAGCCGCGAAAAGGGGCCGCGAAGGGGCCGCGAAGAGCCGTGAGGGGGCCGCGAAGGGCCACGAAGGGGCCGCGAAGGGCGGCGAGGGGGCCGCGAAGGGCCGCGAGAGGGGCCGCGAAGGACCGCGAAGGGGCCGCGAAGGGCCGCGAAGGGGCCGCGAAGGGCCGTTAGAGGGGCCGCGAAGGGCGCAAAGAGGCCGCGAAGGGCCGTTATAGGGCGCGACGGGGCGCTTAAGGGCAGGCGCGAAGCGCGCTTCGGGCAGGTAAGGGAGGAAAAAGTCGTGGTGGTGGGCCCTTAGGAAAAAAAAAAACGGTCCCACTAGGGAACCCGCTCTATACCATGTGAGAATAATACGAGGAGTGAAATGACTAGAAATGAGTTGGGTACAAATAGGGAAACCTAGAAATGTAGTACCCCCTATTGTCTAACCCACTACAGCCTAAACAGGCTATAACATAAGTTTGACAAAGGCGCGCCTGCTCAGCCCAGCGAATGATGAGAGAGGGGGCGTCAGATTTGGCACGGAGGGGATAGACAGTGGCAAAGCGAGAGTGGTCATCGACAAGAAGGAGAAAGTAACGATGACCCTGACGGGAGGCAATGGGAGAGGGACCCCAGAGGTCCATATGCACAAGATCAAGGGGTTTGGGGGAGGCAGAAGGGGAAGAGGGATGAGGAGATTGGGAGAGCTTGGCTTGAACACAAGGGGTGCAGGGAGGAGCGGGAGAGGGGGGAAGGGGCGGGAGAGAGGAAGGGAGATCATGAAGCAGCTTTGAATTGACCATGCTGCGAAGGAGAGGGAAGTTGGGGTGGCCAAGGCGATGATGGAGAAGAAGGGTAGGTTGGGTGAGAGAGCGACAGTCGCAAGAGGAGACGGGAAGGGCAGAAGAAGAGGAAGTGTGATTGATAGATGAGAGGATGGGAACACGAAGGGTGTAGAGGCGAGTAGTAGGAGAAAGGGTGAAACGAGCGAGGTGCCGGTCGTGGTAATGAAGATCACAATAGAGTTCACCTGCGGGGAAGAACGCTCGCACACCCAGACGTTGGAGGGCAGGGAGGGATAGGAGGTTATGACGGCAAGAGGGAACATAAAGTCCCGTAACAGCGCCAGAGGGAGAGGCAGGACAGGGAAGAGAGGAAGTGCCAGTGCAGATCATGGTCATGGTCTCCCCAGCCCCATTGATAGAGAGGGGACGAGGAAAATTGCGAAGGGCACCGGCATCACGAAAGACAGAGTCAGTAGCAGCACTATCAAGGACAAAATCCAAGGTGCGAGGAAGTGAGAGAGCGGCAGCTGTAGGGCTGAGAGAGTGAGAGACAGTGCTTGGAACGGGTGGAGAAAGTGGAACGACAAAACGAGGGTCCATAAGAGGAGAAGCACCAAGGATGCTATCCAGGGATGGCATGGTCACACTGAAGACAGAGGCCAGAGAACCAATACCAGAGGTTACAGCGGCACAAGAGTGGCGACGGTGATGGGACAGCGGAACCCAAGCAGAGGGGCGGAGAAGAGGGGAGGTCCATCGGCAAGTAGGAGAGGTGCAAGGGGAGGAAGGGGCAGCGAAGGGAGCGGAGATTAGGAAAGGCAAGGGTAGGAGAGGAGGTACGGCAGGAGATGGGTGAGGGCGGAAGCGCAGAGGAGGAGAGGTAAGAGCGAGAATAGGCCCCATCGGAGGAAGGGGGTGGCAATGGAGCAGATGTGGGGAGATAAAAGAGGAGGAGGAATAGGGACGAGGTAGTCAGCTGCTGAGCCGTTGAGGGGAGAAATAAGAGGAGGAGGGATAACGGCGGAGTAGTCTGCTGCGGCGCCGTTGAAGGGAGACATAAGAGGAGGAGGGATAACGGCGGAGTAGTCTGCTGCTGCGCCGCTTAGGGGAGAAATAAGAGGAGGAGGGATAATGGCGGAGTAGTCTGCTGCTGCGCCGCTGGGGGGAGAAATAAGAGGAGGAGGGATAATGGCGGAGTAGTCTGCTGCTGCGCCGCTGTGGGGAGAAATAAGAGGAGGAGGGATAACAGCGGAGTAGTCTGCTGCTGCGCCGCTGAGGGGAGAAAATAGAGGCGGAGGAACACAGTAGGGAAGGAGCACGGCTACGAAGCAAGGCTGGCAACCACCTGCAGCAGTAGAGGAGAGGAGAGAGGCGGAGGAGAGAATGAGATGGGGAGGGGAATGAAGGGAGAGAAGAGAGGAGGAGGAGGGTGAAGGGGCGGATGGTGAGGAGGGGTAGGTCTTGATGAGCAAGATTACGAAGCAAAGCCGGCAACCAGCTGCAGCAGTATACGAGAGAGGAGAGGCGGAGGAGAGAGTTCGATGGGGAGGGAAATGAAGGGAGAGAAGAGAGGAGGAAGAGGGTGAAGGGGCGGATGGTGAGGAGGGGTAGGTCTTGATGAGCAAAATGACGAAGCAAAGCCGGCAACCAGCTGCAGCAGTAGACGAGAGAAGCTTCGTACGTGGCCGACGACACGAAGCGCGTGGAAACATTCAAGAGGTGGCTCGGGCAGCTGCACAAGTTGTACCACCACAAGCTGCCAGGTAAGCCTTGTGTAGCGATTGCACATGTTCTGATGTGTGTTGTCGCAACGAATTCTGCTGCGAGGGTGACCCGTGCACGTATTCCCTGACTGCTGCTTGTTGGACTAATGCCCCCCATTCCTACCCGTGTCTGCGAGCATCGGCCAAGCTTTCACCCCAACCCCGCCCCATCACAGGGTTCGACTACAAAAGAGCCCAACAGGAGCTGTGGATGTTTACATCCACCATGTTCTCCCAGCACAACAACGAGGAGTTCCATCAGGCGCTCACGAACATGCTGCGGGGCGATGCTTGGCGTGTGTCCTTCCCCAACATCATGCGGATGTGGCAGTCAGTCGCCGTGCTGCCATTGAGCACGGTTGAATGCGAGCGTGGCTTCTCGAAGCAGAATCTGATCAAGACTTGGGGACGCGGCAGCCTAGGCGACACAAGCCTGGAGCACCTGATGCGTTGCTCCCTGCTGCGGTACGAGGTCGACTGGTTTGAGGTGGTCGCCATCTTTCGTGGGGAGAAGCTGAGGCGATCCACCAAGGAGTTTGACGCCACTAGGGCTTCAGAGACCCAGTTTGTAGAAGATGTAGGCAGTGGGGGTGGCACTGAGTAGGTTCCTTGTGAGTGTGATGCTGTTGTAGACTTCATAGATTTTCTGTGTGTTACTTTATTATCTCATTATAAATAACACATCTCTGGAAACAGAAGCCCAAACAGGATTAGCCTAAAACTACCCTGCCGAAATCAGGCTACAGGTTCAGTTACCCTGCTGCAAACAGGGTACGAATTTTTTTACCCTAGGGGTCTGGTTAAAACTAGGGTCTCACGTAAGGAAAATTGTCATCAACTGCAAAACAATTGATGCTGAGTCACCCTGTTTGAGGTGGCGAAGTCTAGGGATTGGTCTGGCAATTGACTGTGCGACACCTGACGTTTTTGCCTCTGAAGCAATTGCAAAACATTTCCGTGGTACATGAGACTTTCGGGATGCTCGCACAAATTGCTGGTGTTCTAGCTTTGGCACCGAACCAATTTCTGTGCCTGGTTGGTTCGGACACAAACTGCGATTTGTGTTTCCTTCGCACCCCTCGCCACACCCCTCGTCATTTTTTACACCTCGCCATCCTAACCAAGGTCAAGTCATCAACTGCAAAACAATTGATCTACGTGAGACCCTGGTTTTAAGGAGGGGCTGGAACCCTGATTCGTAAGGGTAGGCCTAAACCAATTTTGGGCCCTGGGCGAAGCGAATCCAAGGCAATCATTGTCTAAAAAATAATTGGATTGGATCCCACTTGCCGCAGATCCATAATGTGCATTGTACCCATAGTGTTTGCCACGAAGTCAAACCCCTGCTGCAGCTTGTAGTGGTCGTTCTAGAAGTCAATTCGCCACAGTCAAATCATGTTCAGAAATCTATTGGGTCTGATCCCATTTGCCGTGGATCCATGATGTGCACTGTACCCATAGTGTTTGCCACAAAGTCAAACCCCTGTGGCTTCGGCCGGCCAAACTCGCCCAGATAGTCCATCCTCTTTACAGAGCTCTTCATTGCACCCACCTGCTTCCGGTCGCAGCTTTTGAAATTCGGCCACCGCTGATACACCGCCGAATCAGTGCCCGTTACACCAAAGTTGTTATTTTCGTAGTCGATAAATAAAAGCTCGTCAACAGGTCTAGACCACCGGATAATCTGTAACCTGTTGACCTTATCTGCTGCAGGGACGGATTCGCAGTTCTTGTATGGGGGTTGACTGTATGGGGGTGATGATGGTGGGGGTTTCGATGGTGGGGGAGGAGGTCGCTTGGGCGTTTTGGGATCCAGGGATAGAACAGCGATGAGATTTTCAGTGGGTATGCCGCTGCAGTCGCCAGGCTGGCTTGGAGGTGTGGCAACAGTGGCATGGGGAGTTATGACAGGCAAGGGGGTTTGTAGCAACCATTTCCTTCTCCTCGCTTGACTGCTGCTGCTGCTGCTACTGCTACTGCTACTGCTACTGCTGCTACTACTGCTGTTGCTGTACCTGTGCGTGTGCCTGTGTGTGTGCATGTTACTGTGCATTTTACTGTGCCTATTGCTGTGCCTGTTGCTGTGCCTGCTGCTTTGCCTGCTTCTGCGTCTGCTGCTGCTCCTCCTTCGCCTTCTTGTGCTGCCACCACTACCACTGCTGTCAGTTATGCCAAGGCTGGTGTCTTCTTGGCTGCCGCCGCTGCTGCTGCTGCTATCGCCGCCGCCGCTGTCGCTGCTGCTGCTTTGCTGACGGGAGGCTGTGCCCTCCCATTGCATGGTCCCAGCAGGAGAGTGGGGATGGGAGGAGGTGCGGAAGCTAGAGTGGTGCAGCGGAGAGGCTGCTGCAGCCACAGACACACCACTGTCAACTGCTTCTTGCTGCTGCTGGTGCTGCTGCTGGTGCTGGTGCTGGTGATGCTGCTGGTGCCGCTGCTGGTGATCTGTGTTCTCATGCTGTTGGCCTTGCAGTTGGCCTTGCTGCTCTGGTTGCTGTTGGTGCTGCTGGTGGTGGTGCTGGTGGTGATAATACTGGCCTGAGGATGTGCCGCTGCTGCTGCTGCCACTGCTGCTGCTGCTGCTGCTGCCACTGCTGCTGCTGCCACTGCTGCTGCTGCTGCTGCTGCTGCCACTGCTGCTGCTGCCACTGCTGCTGCCACTGCTGCTGCTGCCACTGCTGCCAGCGCTGGAGGAGGAGGAAGCAGAAGAGGAGCCAGGGAACACCAGCTTGGCCGTGCTGATACGAAACATCTTAGAAGGATGCACCAACGGCTGCTCCCTTCCAGGCGAAACCATCCCTCCCTCATACGAACCTGATCTCTCTGCCAAACCCACCTCTTTTTCCAGCCTCGCTCTTTTAGGCACCTCTTGAGAACTCTCAAAACCTTTACTCGACTCCGCTCCCTTTTCCAGCTGTGCTTGTCCTTCTGCTATCGTGGTGGCTTGGTCCCTTTCTCTGCTTTCCAGCACCGAGATTTCTGAGATGGGCTTATGCTCTATATGTGCCTGTCTGGCATCTGTATAGGGATGGGTTTTGTGGATGCTGTGGTGGGTTTCGCTGTTGTGGCGGGTTTTGGTGTCACGGGGGGTTTCGTGGGTAATTTGGTGGGTTTCGGTGGTGGGGTGGGCTTCGGTGGTGCGGTGGGTTTCGGTGGTCAAAGGCTGGCTGGTTTGGGAATGGAAGGCGGTGCGGTGTGGGGATATGAGAGTAGTAGTTGCAAGAGAAGAGATGAATACTGACGAATGGGAAGGAGGCGGAGAGGGAGGAGGAGGAGGAGGGGGAAGAGGAGAAAGAAGGAAAACAGGAAGAGGAGGAGGCAGAGAGAGGGCAGGTGTTTTGATGCGATGGGTGGTGTTATGGTGGAGAGCTGGCTTGAAGGAAAAGATGAAGGAGATGGGGCGGGGCGAAGGAGTGGGAGCAGGACGGGGAGGAGGGTGGGGAGACGCAGGGGCAGGAGGAGCAGCAACAGGGGGCGCAGGGGTGAGGGAGCACTGGGTGCCGTTGATGTCAGTCTGCTGGCAGATGTTGGACAGCCAGGGGAAGGCCTGATGAGGGGTGATGGGTGATGGGTGCGTGTGGGAATGGGGAGGGGACGGGAGAAATTGAGTCGATTCTTGAGTTGACTCAAGCGAAAAGAGGTGAGGGAGCACTGGGTGCCGTTGATGTCAGTCTGCTGGCAGATGTTGGACAGCCAGGGGAATGCCTGACGATGGGTGGTGGATGGCGTGGATGGGTGGGTCGGGGAGGGAGGGAAGAGATTTTGTTAGTCGGCTTATTAGAAAACATTGGACAGCCATGGGAAGCTCTGATTACGCAACATGCCCTGCCACTATTTCCCGATGGGGCTCCCACAGTTGCACACTTTGGCCTGTTTTGAAGCGCCTAAAGAACGAGTCGAGATTTGAGGCGACCTTCAAGAATCGAGTTTGAAGGCGCCTCGAAAATCCATTCATGGGGTTCTTTAACCCATTCCTCCCTTCCCTCACAGCAGTGAAGGCGGGGTGTTTGGTAGTAGGAGCGGCGCATGCCCTCCCAATAGCACGCCTTCACTGTGCGTGTGGAAGGAACCTCCGCTCCGCACACTGCTGGAGTCTGGTGGTCATGACTCGAATCAACTCACAGCAGTGAATGCGGGCGTGCGGTAGTAGGAGCGGCGCATGCCCTCCCAGTAGCGCCCGATGGGGCTGCCCCAGTTGAACACTCTCACAGTGAGAGTCTCACTCCCGTGCACACTGTGAGTAACTTTCACACAGTGTGTGCCGCGCGTTCAGTGAACTGATTCAACTCACAGAGGTGAATGCAGGCGTTCGGTAGTAGGAGCGGCGCATGCCCTCCCAGTAGCGCCCGATGGGGCTGCCACAGTTGAACACTTGGGGCTGTGTGCACGAGAGCGTCACTGGTGTGCTGCCGCTGGCCCGCATTATCAGCCACCGAACGTCGTTCCTGGGAGGCAGTGTGGGGAGCGAACGGGGGCAAGGGGAGGGAAAGAGTGAGGGGGGAAGGAGTTAGGGATGTTTCTGAAAATACTGAGGAATTGCAATGCACCACCTGTCCTTTGTTGACAAGTCTTGCTGAGAATGCAAGCGTGTTCATTCATGCTCCAGCCAAACACTCTCAGGCCGCATTCCGGGCTCGTAACCGCCTGTTACAAACACGAGTCTGGCCGTCGTTTGCACTCACTCCCAGACTGTTGGGGCCCCGGATCCCGAATACTGGGTTAGACCCGGGGCTCGTTGGGGGGGGGGGGGGGGGGCGGGGGGGGGGGAGGAGGGGGGGGGGGGGGGGGGGGTCGCATCGCGCAGTGTCAGTAGGCGTCGTTGAGCCGATCGCGTGTCATGTTACGAGGTGACTATCGTGAGGTGAGGTGACTATCGTCTCTCCTCTTTGCTAACGTCGTCGCAAAGATGGGTCCCATCGTCCTTCGTCACTGCTATGATCTCATGACAATGGGACGATGGGACGATTGGACGATGGGACGATTGGAGCCATCTTTGCGTCATGAGCATTGAGCCCGAAGTGTGACCTCATCTCACTCACAGTGCATCACATTGCATCTCTTCGCCACTCCCCACTTCTCACCAACCCCTTCCCATTCCTCCTCCCCTTCTTTCCCCTATCCTCATCACCTCCTGCTCAACCCCCGTTTCCCCCCTCATCTCCCTCCCTCCCCCCCGCCCCCTCACCTTACCTCCCCCTCCCTTCCTCCTCACCTCTTGCTGTTCTGCGTGACCACACCCAGGGGCGTGCACAAGCACACACAAGCACCGCTTGATTTGTCAGGCGTACCAACATCTCTTTCCCACGCCCGCACCTCACCTTGCCCCCACCTCCCCCCCTGTCACCTCTTGCCATTCTCCATAACCACGCCCAGGGGGGTGTGCACACACGCACTCAGTCCCCCCTCACCCTCATACAGTCCCCCCTCACCCTCATACAGTCCCCCCTCACCCTCACACAGCCCCCCCTCACCCTCATACAGTCCCCCCTCACCCTCATACAGTCCCCCCTCACCCTCATACAGTCCCCCCTCACCCTCATACAGTCCCCCCTCACCCTCACACAGTCCCCCCTCACCCTCATACAGTCCCCCCTCACCCTCATACAGTCCCCCCTCACCCTCACACAGTCCCCCCTCACCCTCATACAGTCCCCCCTCACCCTCATACAGTCCCCCCTCACCCTCATACAGTCCCCCCTCACCCTCATACAGTCCCCCCTCACCCGCACGCCCATCCGGGGAATTGCAGCAAGACATCATTCCTTTCCTCACCATTCTCGCCCCATTTCTCCCCCCCCCCCGCCCCCCTCTCCTCCGCCTCACCTCTTCCCGTTATCCATAACCACGCCCAGGGGAGTGCGCACACACGCACCGCCCCTCACGCGCCCGGTCCCACACACGCAAGCCAATCTGGGGGAGAGCAACACATCGTTCCTTGCCTCACCTCTCCCATCCGCCTCACCTCTTGCCATTCTCCATAACCACGCCCAGGGGGGTGCGCACACACGCACCGCCCCTCACGCGCACGCCCATCGCATGCTCGCCCATCCAGTAGCAGCTCTCGGTACCAAACACATAGTTGCACTGCGCACGATTGCCTGGAGCAAGAAGGGGGGGGGTGGGAAGGACAGGACCGGAGGTGCTGGGTGGTTGAGTACGGTACGGACCAAGCACCCAGAAGCAGCTCTCTTCCCAAGCCCATCGCATGCTCGCCCATCCAGTAGCAGCTCTCGGTGCCAAAGACGTAGTTTCACTGCGCACGGTTGCCTGGAGCAAGGAGGGAGGGGAGGAGGGAAATGGGGGAAAGGGGAAGTGGGAGGTTGAGTAAGGTACAGAGAGAACATGCTTCCATGCATTCCCTTCCCCACCCATCCAGTAGCAGCTCTCTGTGCCAAACACGTAGTTGCACTGCGCGCGGTTGCCTGCAGAGAGTGGTGTGTGGGTAGTGGGAGGGAGGGACAGGACCAGAGGTGATGGGTGGTTGAGAACGGTACGGACCAAGCACCCAGAAGCAGCTCTCCTCGCAAGCCCATCGCATGCTCGCCCATCCAGTAGCAGCTCTCGGTGCCAAAGACGTAGTTGCACTGCGCGTGGTTGCCTAGAGCAAGGAGGAGAAGCGGGTGCGAGTGGGAATTGATTGAGTACAAGAAAACAAGCCACCAGGTGCTCTCCCTTCCGCTAACCCAGTAGCAGCTCTCGATGCCAAACACATAGTTGCACTGCGCGTGGTTGCCTGCAGCAGCTGGGGGAGATGGGAGGGACAGGATCGGAGGTGATGGGTGGGTGGTTGAGTACGGTACGGAACGAGCACCCAGAAGCAGCACTCCCCCCAAGCCCATCGCATGCTCGCCCATCCAGTAGCAGCTCTCGGTACCAAACACGTAGTTGCACTGCGCGCGGTTGCCTGCAGAGGGTGGGTGGTGCAGGAGACAGTATCAGGGGTGAAGGGTGGTTGAGCACGGTACGGAACAAACACGACTTCATGTGGTCCCCCCACCACAACCACCCACCCAGTAGCAGCTCTCCATGCCAGCAACGTAGTTCACTTCACAGTGTGCAGTTGCCTTGCCTCTGATCTCTCTCACGTGCATACCTGGGTTGAGCTTGAGCCAGCCTGTGGCGAAGTAAATGCCAGTGGAACTGCCACCACTGCTGCTGCCTTTTGAAGTTTTGAGTCGACTCTAAAATCACCTCTGCTCCTGACACGCATGCGTACGTGGGTTGATTGGATTGAACCTAAGCTGCCTCTAGATTGCTTCACGTGCATACCTGGGGTCCTGAGCCTGGGCTGAGGTGAACTAAGCTGCCTCTAGTTTGTTGCACGAATCACGTGCATACCTGGGGTCCTGAGCCTGGGCTGAGGTGAACTAAGCTGCCTCTAGTTTGTTGCACGAATCACGTGCATACCTGGGGTCCTGAGCCTGGGCTGAGGTGAACTAAGCTGCCTCTAGTTTGTTGCACGAATCACGTGCATACCTGGGGTCCTGAGCCTGGGCTGAGGTGAACTAAGCTGCCTCTAGTTTGTTGCACGAATCACGTGCATACCTGGGGTCCTGAGCCTGGGCTGAGGTGAACTAAGCTGCCTCTAGTTTGTTGCACGAATCACGTGCATACCTGGGGTCCTGAGCCTGGGCTGAGGTGAACTAAGCTGCCTCTAGTTTGTTGCACGAATCACGTGCATACCTGGGGTCCTGAGCCTGGGCTGAGCCAACCTGTGGTGTGGCAAAGTAAATGCCAGTGGGGCTGCCCTGCCACCACTGCTACTACCAGCTGCTGGCGCAGCAGCATATCTCCCTCCCTGCCAAACACGCAATTCACGGCGTGCAGTTGCTCCTCATCTCGCTGACATGCGTGCATACCTGGGTTGAGCCACCCTGTGGCGAAGTAGATGCCAGTGGAACTGCCACCGCTGCTGCTGCTGCCAGCTGCCGACGCAAACGCCCTGCGCTCCGCTGCTGCTTCTGCTGCTCTTGCTGCTGCTGTGGTTCTCGTGGTTCCTCCTGTCGCAGCTGCTGCTGCTGCTGCTGCTCTTTCTGCTACTGTTGTTCTCGTGGTTCCTCCTGTTGCAGCAGCTGCTGCTGCTGCTGCTGCTGTCGAGTCTGCCACACCCTGCCCCAGTAGTCCCCGTCCTTCTGTTGCCTCTGCTCCTGCGTCCCCTGCCTTAGCATTCACACCACCTCTGGTGCTTCCACCAGCATCGCTTTCACTTTCAAAAACCAAATTTAATACAGAAGATGTGCCTGTAGCAGGTGTGGCTGTAGCAGCTGCGGCTGTAGCAGGTGTGGCTGTAGCGATGCCAACAACAGCTTGCGGAGTTTCCTGGTGTGCTAGAGCACGAGCGTGCGCATGAGCTAGAGTGTAATAACGATTCTCGTATCTTGAGTGGAAGCTGGGACGATGGAGGGCGAAGTATGGCGCGCTGTCGTCGCCACTGTTAGTTGAAACACTGGATGAACCCTCACCAACACCCACACCACCATCATCCCCAGCACCATAACCACCACCACCACCACCACCACCACCACCACCACCACCACCACCACCACCACCACCACCACCACCACCACCACCACCACCACCACCACCACCACCACCACCACCACCACCACCACCACCACCACCACCACCACCACCACCACCACCACCACCACCACCACCACCACCACCACCACCACCACCACCACCACCACCACCACCACCACCACCACCACCACCATCACCATCATCATCATCATCAGCAGCAGCAGCAGTAGCACCAGCACTGTAAATCCCTCCACCATCGAAAGCCGAAGCAGCAGCAGAAGCAGCCGAAGCAGCCGAAGCAGCAAAAGCAGCAGCAGCAGCAACAGAAGCCCCATTGGCAGAACCACCAGGCACGCCTCCCCTCCTCTGAATGGAGTTATAGGAGATCGCGGATAGCATGCAGTCGCCCTGGCTGTACCCACCCGCACCGCACCGAATCGCAGCCGATCCGAACGAGTGGATGAGGTTGTTGGTGACTGTCACTCCGACCGCCCCCGAGTCGAGAATGATCGGCGCGTCAACACCTGCAGAGGAATGAGTGGAAGATAGAGCACAGATTTCAGGCGCCTCGAATCTCGCGGCAAGAGCAGCAGGAGTGGATGAGGTTGTTGGTGACTGTGACACCGACCGCCCGTGAGTCGAGAATGATCGGCGTGTCAACACCTGCAGGGAGACGAGTGGAAGGGTGGGAAGAGAAGGTACGAGGCGTGTCCACATCCACCCGATAGGCGTGCTTGTTGATGTTGGATGGTTCCAAGTTCCAACAAGAGCTTGTGGTGCGGAGGGGCCACTCCACCAGCCAGGCCGACTGCGATGCGGTGCGGTGCAAGTGGGTACAGCGACGGGCGTTTGCTGATGTTGGTGCCACTGCCAGCCAGCCAACACGTGCTTGTAGTGGAAGGGTGGGAAGGAATGCCAGCTCATAGAAACGCCACTTTGATAGCCCCTGAGTCGTGCTCCGCACGCACCTGCAGAGGGATGAGTGGAAGGGAAGAGCAGGCAGGCACCCAAGAGTGGCGGCTTTGAAGATGAAGAGTTGCTTGCTAGTTGTTGTCTCAAACCAGGTGGGCACTCAAACCAGGTTGTTGTCAACCGCGCCAAGTGTGGTGAAGTGGAGGTCAGTAATGCTAAGCCAGCACAGCACGACATGCTGCTCGCTCGCTCGCTGCTCGCTCAATAAGTCAAGGGCTCGTCCATTCATCAGCACACACAGGGAAGTCAGCAACACAGAACCTCCCACCCCCTCCTTCCCTCCTCCCCACATACACACATGCACGCACACACGCACACCTCCTCTCCCATCCCCGCCTCTCTCATTCACCCCACGCACCATAAATCTCGTTATTGGTGATGCTTATATCGGAGCGCAGCAGCGTGGGGCCGTGGCCAGAGAGTGCCACGTGGACAGCCCCTGCTGACGTGTCAACATCCAGGGATGTGATCAACATGCCATCGATCCGAGCCCCCATCACGCGCAGCATGTCTATCCGCCCGTACACTTGGCCCTGGAAGAACGGGGGAAGGGGGGTGAGGCGGAGCAGGGAAAAGGAAGGGGCGGAGGGGAAAAGGAAAGTGGAGAGAAAGGAGAGGGAAAGAGGGGAGGGGGGGAGTGGATGAGGCATAGGAAGGGAGAAAGTGCTGAGAGCTCTTTGGATATATAGCATGTATATTGATCACTCGAAGCATGATTTTGGGATCAGCGTCCAGGGTTGGGATCTCCATGCCATTCACACAAGACGCCATCACGCGCAGCATGTCTATCCGCCCGTACACTTGGCCCTGGGGAGGAAAACGGGGACGGGGAGAATGAGGGCTAGAGCTGACTGCAGCAGCCTATGCAGGCATGGATGGCAAGTGCATGATTGATGAGGCATACATGCGAATCGCTCCCCCCCTCCCTCAGCCTCTCCCTTCCCACCTTCCCCTTTCCTACCGCCCCCATTCCCGCCTCCCCCCTTCCCGCCTCCCCCCTTCCCGCCTCCCCCCTTCCCGCCTCCCCCCTTCCCGCCTCCCCCTTTCCTGCCCACTCCTCCACCCTCCTGCCTCCTTCCCCATCTCACCTTGCCTATCTACGAACTAGGTTTGTTTTGAGTCAGCTCAAACACCTCCCTTCCACCACCCTCCTTCCCCGTCTCACCTTGCCAATCTGCACGCCGTACGATCTGCTGACGTGGATTGCAGGGCAGCTATCCCATTCGTTCACCACCACGGGCACGCTCCTACACGGCGCTGACGTGTCATCCATGCGTAGAACGAAGCTCACGTCGTATATAAGCACGTTGTGCGCGCCCTGTATCGACAGCACCGGCTGATCCGTTCTTATAACGAGTCGGATCGTGAAACCTCCCCATGGCACCCCCTCTGTTGCTGTTGCTGCTGCTGCTGCTGAAGCTCCTCCTCCTCCTCCTTCCGCTGCTGCTGCTGCTGCTGCCCTTGCTTCCGCCATCCCCTCTCCTCGTACCCTTTCCCCATCTACCACCTCACTTATCTCCCAATAATCTCCCAACTCTGCTTCTCCTGCTGTGCCCGCTGCCTCTGCCCTTACTCCTGCTGCTGCTGCTGCTTCCGCCACCCCCTCTCCTCTCACTCCTTCCCAGTCCACCCCTTCATCTGATGCTCCTTCTTCCCAGAAAGCAGCTGTCTGTGTTCCTGCTGTGCCTGCTGCCTCTGCCCTTCCTGCTGCTTCTGCTCCGCTTGCCATTCCACTTGCCACTCCGCTTGTTGCACTGCTTGCTGTTCTCTGCCACAGCCCCACAAACCCCCCCCATGCGCCGTCCGCCCCACTGCTCCCCCCTTCCCCAGGCTTGGCGGATCTCAGAATAGTACAGGAATAGGAGGCGTTGAAAACGATACCAAAGGGGAGGTTCAAGGAGGCGTTTAATATAAGGAGGACCGTGGTGGACGGTGGGTACTTGAGGCGCTTCGTGATCTCCCAGGGTCTGTTTATAAAGAGGATGGGCGCGGATTGCCAGGGGGTGCAGGGGGACGGGGGGGGGCAGGGGGAGCGGGAGGGGGAGGGGGGCGGGACTGGGAGGGGGGAAGCGAGATGGGGGCGGAGAACGGGTAGGTGGGGGGGGAGGGGCTTTGGGGGGAGGGGGAGAGGGGGGGGTAGGGGTAGGGGTAGGGGATGGGGCAGGAGAGGGGCCGAGCAAGGGAGCCGGAGCAGGAGCAGGGGAGGGCGCAAGGGAGGGCGCGGGGGAATCAGCTGGGGCTGGGGAGGGAGAGTCAGCGGGAAACGGAACAGGCGAAGGGGGAGGGCGGGGAGCAGGGGGGGTTGTGGGGGGAGGGGGACCGGGAGCAGACGGGGGTGTGGGAGGAGGGGGGCGGGGAGGAGGACGAGGCGGGGGGTTCGAAGGAGCGGGTGGGGGCGGGAGAGGGGGAGGGGGAGCGGGGGAGGGAGGCGGGCGTGGGGCCGGGGGCTTAGGAGGGGGGGAAGGGGAGGGGGGACGAGGAGGCGGGGGAGCGGAGCTAGATGGGGGCCGGGGTGGAGGGGGGCGGGGAGGGGGAGGTCTAGCGGGAGGGGGAGGACGAGCGGGAGGAGGCGGAGGGGAAGGGTTAGGCAGGGGAGCGGGGGAGGGAGAGGGTGCGGGGGAAGAGGAGGGAGCAAGCAGCAGCAGCTGAGCAACGGTCGCTTGAAGACTGCTCCACATGGTATCATCAGCAGCAGCAGTAGCATCAGCAGTAGCAGCAGTAGCAACAGTGACACTGTTCGCTCCAGAACTCCGGTGTGTGGAGAAGCTCCGCTCTCCTCTTCCCTCTGCTCTGCCCTCTCCCCTGCCCTCTCCTCCACCCTCTCGTTTGGCCCTTCCGCTGTCGTCTGCTCCGCCCGCCGCTCTCTTGGCTGCTGCTTTCCTCTCCTCCGCTCGAACCACCTCCAGGAAATGCTCCGTGCCAGAGTGCCCTTGCAGCTCCTCGGAAAGCTCTTGAGAACTCTCGAAAGTAACACCAGAGCGCCCTTGCGACTCCTCAAGATGCTCTTGAGAATTCTCGACAGTAACGCCAGAGAGCCCTTGCGACTCCTCGAAATGCTCCATTCCTTGCGCTCCTTCCCCCCACTGCCTCCTGCTCGAATGGATCTGCTGCGAAAAGGAGGAGGAGGAGGAAGAAGAAGAGGCGGCGTCAGCGCCCGCTGCACCGGAAGAAGGCTTTTGAGACGAGGCGTGAGGAGACGTCTTAAAAGAGGCGGCGTGAGTGCTCGCTGCACTGGCAGAAGAAGCAGCAGCGGCGACTTTTCTAGGCGCCTCAGAAGCAGCAGCAGCAGCAGCAGCATGGAAAACCGCAGTAGGGCCCTGCAATGCGTGTATGTGAGCGTGCAGGCAGTCGTCATTGTCGCCGTCACCCTCACCACCACCACTACCAGCACCACCAAACGGATTGCACTTTCGCCGTTGCTCAAACGCAAGGCTTCCATGCGTCGTCTCAGCCTTACCCTCTCCATCCCCCCCCACACCTCCCTCCTCGCCTCCTCCCTTCAGCCCGTCATCCCCGTTCTCCCTTTCAGCCGCCACTATCACACCTTCACTCTCTGCGACTATCTCACTTCCGCCCATCGAACTCGCGCTCTGCACACGCACCCCGCCATGTCCTTCTCCCTCCTCTCTCCGTACCCCATGTGTCGGTCTTCTCGCGCCGTCTCCCCTCCCGTCCCCCCCCACATCCCCATTCCCGTCCCCGCCCTTGGTGCCTGCGGTCGCTTCCCCTCCTCCCCCCGCACTCTCCGCGGTAGCCATTTCCCTCTCATGCGCCACCACACCATCCGCACCCCCTCGCTCAAGCTCCTTCTTCCTCTCATTTCGCTTTCTCTCCCGCTTCCCTGGCTTCTCCTCTTTCTTCTCCCCCGTCTCCCCCTCCGCCTCCGCCCCCTCCCCCACCTCCGCCTCCGCCTCCGCCTCCTCCCCCGCCGCCTCTGCCTCCGCCTCCGTCTCCGCGCCTTCCGCGCGCAGCCACGTGATGTGCCACTGTTGTCGGTGCACCAGTGGCGCCACGGCACCTTGCTCCTCCGCCGCCCACTCTCTCGCTACCGCTGCACTCAAATCCCTCCGCTGCTGCTGCTGCTGTTCCTCCTCCTGCTGCTGCTGCTTCTGCTGCTGGTACTGCTGCTTCCCAAGGCCTTGACCAGCAGTCTCACCAGCAGCAGCACCAGCGGCAGAAGCAGCACCAGGAGTCTGGGCTCCGACGGATGTTTCCCGCGGCATGACACACGGCGGCAGCAGCAGCAAGAGCAGCAGCAGCGTCATCGCACCGAGAGCTCTCAAGGGAAACCTAACCGAGCCAAAGCGAAGCGAACTGAACCAACGCGACGGCGCCCGTGGCGGGATAGTAACGATTGCGCGCCGAGTCACACCCGCCGTCACTGGTGCTGCCAGGACTGAGTCCATCGGTAAACTGGTCTGTGCGAGTCTACTGGACTCGACAGGGTAATGTATCGAACAACAAAATATATAACAACAGCTATAGTATTAGGGTACAGAATAGCAATAACAATAAGATATCAGTCGGGGAGTTTCTGAGGCTACGATACGAACAGACGGTCTAGGTTAACGTGTAGCTGGTCCGCGGGAGCACTGGGAACGGGAACCTCAGTCTGCAAGACCTACACCTTGACAAACGTATCGGTCTCATTTTACATGGACACATAAGACGCTCTTACAATACGCGACTATAGGCATCGTGATGACCTTACTGGATCGAACCTTAGAAGGAAGGGACCTTTGCCGCTCCGCGCGGCGAGCTTCGAGCTACTACAGTAATCCGGCGTAACCGTGTAAGGGGTCTCATGGACGCGTCGCACGACGCAGCGGTGACGTACGAACGAGCAGGGACACGTCGCACGTGTCGACCAGGTCTCGTCACGTCGTCTGGTGCATTTCAGTAGTACGACGCGGCTTTAGAGTTCGGAAATGGTGCAGTAGAGTAGTGTGAGTGAGGCAGAAAGCTGCTTCGGAGATTGAAAGTGGATCGTTCGGGTTGAACTCAGAAGCTTGGGCCTCCTCCTGTGAGCCGTCCGTGTGCGTGCGTCTGTCAGTGAGTAGGTGAGTGGCTTTGGCTTGGCTGTGTCACTGTCAGGACTCAGCAGGAGCAGTGCGAGGGAAGCGGAGGGGAGGGGAGGGGAGCAGCAGAACCCAATAGTTTACAGTACAGTGCAATACAGTATCTTCCAACATCCCAAAATGTGTTAATGTGGTTGAGAACAGAAGGTTAGGGTAGGGTTGAATGAGGTGGAATGCGTGTTTTCCGAAACAGCCGCCAGGAGATTCGAGCCGAGACTGGAGGAGATTCGAGAAGGACGTGGGTGTCAGTCAGGTAGTTGCGCTGGACATGGTCGGTTGGTAACGTGACGTGGTCTGTCTGGGTTCGGTTCGGTCTGATTCGGTATTCTGGTGCCCGTTCTTGTGGTTGGGGAGGATAGGTGGGTGGAGTGAAACGAAACGACAGGAGGTTCAGAAAATTGGTTTGGGCGGGGAGAGATAATCCGTGCGTTCTTCTCGTGCGTTACAGCACGACATGTTTCGTTGGCGGAAAAGGGTTCGTTCGCATGGTCTCGTTCATCTGTCTGCCCTCCACGTCTCCATGGTTGGTCTGGTTGGTTGGACGCTTTGGCTGCTGTGGAGCCTTGGAGTCTCCGAATCTCTGACCGAGCCTATATCTGCAAGTCTATAGGAACGTGGGTTCTGAGGGGCATCCTTAGGGCAGGGAATTGGGTTGTTGTTGAGTGTCGTTGTCAATTCGGGCTGTTTAGGGGGTAATTATGGTCTAAGTCTATATATCTGCAACATGAAAGCTATGTAAAACATTCCCCTAAACTCTTATATCTTACACAGTATGAAATCGATGGCACTATACTGTCAATGCTAAACCATCATCAATATACACGTTTCTACCGGAACTTTGTTCCTGTTAACTTCTGTCTCAAACTGGGCACAACATTGTCTCACTTGCAAGTGTGCTGGTTCCAGAATGAGTCCTGCTCGGCCTCTCCGCCTGCTTCTGAGGCCGGTGCCTCGTAACACTTAATCGCTGCACTCCCTTTCCAACTCCCTTCCTGCTGCTATCTTCTAGACAATGCCGACTGCCACCGATAAGTGTAAATTCAGGCAATTACCAGGCTTCCATGACACTTGCTCGGGCTATGTGTAGAGGAAGGGACGTCGCAGAAGACGCACGTTCTCACTCAGATGCAGAACACCCTGGGGCAGGAAGAATGCAGCAGCTGGAGCAGCCGGGTTCGACAGGAGGCTGGGGTACATTGACTGTAACGTAGGTGACCTCGGCTGTTACATCAACTCATCAGCTGTTCGTGCCACTCGCATCACCATCTGCGGCCTCCATCTCCCCTACCCCCCCACTCTCCCACTTTTTCCTCCCCCATGCTTCTTCCTCACCCTTCTCCTCGTTTGCTGCTGCTACACTTACTGCTGCTGCTACCACCGCTGCTCTCGTTGCCTCCTCCTCCGCCAAGCAAATCGGGCATCGGCAATCAGCGGTGGCACTTACAGGGGAAAAATATCCACTCGCTTCATTCTCGTATATCCCCATCCCCACACTTCTCCGCTCCTCCGCGTAATCCCAGCTGCCCACCCTTCTTTTCCGCACCTGACGCGTCGTCTCCTCACCCAGCAAGTAGTAAGTCCCCCCGGGGCGAAGCACGGTGGAAGGTTCCAGCGGGCTCTGCTGGCGCGACGGCGAGGAACACAATAGACGGTGGCCCGGGAAATCCGCCAGAACGTCCGCCGCAAGAAGCGTAATCGTCTCATTGGGCGACTTTTTGGGGCCCTCGAAACCAGAATCCGTGCACGGCGCCTCGTCATCGTCCTCCTCCGCTCCGCCGCTGCTGTCGCACGACGAGATATCCGTTGCATCACTGGGTGAACCGAATTCAGCCGCATTTGCGCGCCGTCGCGGCGGAGACGAGGGTGATGCAGACTCGCAATCCGCATTGGATGATGATACGGAGGATTCCGTGACGTCAAGCAATCCCGGGAGTGACGGGACGGAGTAGATTCGCATGGTCCCGTCGTCTAGGAACACCATAACGGCTGTCTCATCGCCGCATTCCGCGTCTGCGGCCTCCGCTTCCGCCGATTCCGCCGTCGCCGCCGCTGCGCCGGATGTGCGGCAACTGGCGCAGCCTTCCGCCGGTCCTGTTGACGTGCGCCTCGTCGCGCTCCCTCTGCTGCTGCTGCTGTTCCCGTGCCGCGTTTTCAGTAGTCCCACGACTCTTGCGGCCGCAGCGGCGGCGCGAGCGGCTACTGCGCGTAGGCGGCCGCTGCCGCTGCCGCTGTTGCTGCTGCTAACGCCGAAGGCGGCGCCGGGGACGCCACTGGCCGACATTGGTGCGTCGTATCGGAGAGGCGTGCGAGATTCGCGTCGCAGGGAACCAGCGGACGACGACGGCGGCGGTGTCGTGGCCAGCATGTCGCTGGGAGGGACCGTTGTGATTGTTCGCGAATTCAGGTCTAACGGCGTTGTCCGTAAGAGAGGCGCTCTATTCACTACGAAAGTACTCGGGTCTCTGTAGCAAAGTGCATTCCTCAAAGCGTACATAAATTCCGCGGCTCGGGTTCAAACGTGTGAGCAAGGACGGAGAAGCAGAGAACCACAGATTTAGGGTAATCAGACTATGTGGCTTTCTGGTTACGAGTGAACTTTTTGGTTGCTGTGGTGTGGTGGGAATTCTTCAGAAACTACGCGCTGATTGACAACCACAGGAAGGAGTTCGTTGGGAGGGGAAGGCCGTTAGGAACAGGTCCCGTCAGCGAGAGTCTCGTTGCACAGCAACCACGGGCTGGCAACAGCGTAGGCGTTGGAAGTTGGAGCAAGCATTTGCTTGAATGTTACGGCACGCCTTTTTTGTTCTATGTCCTGTTGCCTCCTCCTGCGGTCTACGTTCTTCTGTTGCTGCGAAGGTCAATCAAACTCCACGGCCCCACGCGGCCTGTTGGCCTGTGATTCGCAGCTCCTACATTCCGAGGCGCGCATTGCTGTCCTTGGAAGTTAGGGCTTTGGAGTTGGACGTTCCAGATTTGAGGGGCGGGGGGGGCGTGGTGCACGTGAATTCAGGTGCTCCACCATGCCGCACCGAACCCCGCAGGGACCTGGCGCTTCTCACATCTCTCACATCCTCAGGGCGCATTCGGGGCCGTGTCAGACTCAGGTCAGTTACTGAGCATGCCTTCGGGTCTTGCGAGCTTCATTCGGTTCATCATCGTCTTTCTTTCCCGGCGCCGGGCCAACCTCTGGTCTTACGAGCGTCCAACCACTTCGTGTGAACCGCGCCCCGATACTCTCAGAGTTGTTTTGTCCCACGGATCTTGTTTAGGCAGCACTTGTAGGTCGCACAATATACACGTAGTTCTGTACGTACCATTCAGTAACCGCGTCCCTTCCGATGTTCAGGGCGAGTCTGATAAAATTGGTGCAAGAATCTAGCCACATATCGCTGACGACATTTCTGAGTCGTGAAACAAAAACAAGACATCTTAGGTTCGACGGGGCACTTTCACAAGGGTACAGCTGAAAACTCTATGGGTTACTAGGTACGCAAGCATTTGGGTTGAATCTAGCCAGTACCTCCGAGCTGTTGCCCATAGAGGGACCCTCGTGCGTGAAATAAATGCTGAAGCTGCGCGTGTCATGAATAGTTTGGTCGGATTGTTCTGTTCACTTCAACTCGTTAGATTTAAAGCGAACACGCACGAAGAATGGAACATGGAAACCTACACACTGTACCTAGTTACATAATACTTTCTCAAGCCATAACAGATCAAGCCCACACTACATCAGTTAGGGTGGTGTGGTGCCAATAGAGGATATGAGAAATAATGATCTAACACAAATGTTAGATACACGAACAAGTGAACGAGTCTCTCAATATGTATAGAGGCGGCACCCTACGTTTTCAATCCTCGTCAAAACCTGAAGCCGCGTCTTTCCAATAAGTGCCCCGTCGACCTTTTGATATTTCATGTGACGAGCATGTCCTTGGACCAAAATGGTATCTAGTACCGGTATTGTAACCAATACGATAGACCAATCAGTATGTGTTCTCATGTGTTACGATATGAAGTTGCATGAGTAGGCATTCCTGTATGCTGCAGGAGCCGACTCTAC